ACGTTTTCTGTGCACGAGATTTCTTGTTTAACAATTGCTTACACATTTTCACTTGTTTGATGAACATTACTCTGACCTCTCATTGCATATTCAGTCATGTTCGTGTGAACTCTCTTTTTTTGACCTTTCTGTGTTTATATCTTCCTGTGAATTACTAACACACACACACACACACACACACACACACACACACACACATTGTCTGGCCCGGGTATATGTATAGATATAAGTAAGATAAGAATAAACTCACAGGGAGCAAGTACAGCGGGGATCTACAGTCATCAGTAGAAATTATCCTCTTTCGACACACGTTTCGGCCCACGATTCCTAAACGTATTCGGAGGTGGGCCCACCTGAGTTCATGAAGCTCAGGGCTGCTTCCCCGCTGCACAGAATTACCGGATGGTGTTATTATTTCGGCCAGAGACAAGACGACTTAGTGGTTTCGAAGGAGGTACTGTGAGATAAGAAGTCGCCGCGACAGCGTAATTAAAGCAGTCCGCATGCCTGGACGACCGAGCGACAAGCTTACTTTGGTTTACCGGACACATGTTAGACTTTTATTAGCAGTTGGCAGAGGGACACTGGCAGACAATTCGTACACGATGGACTTTCAAAGGGATAAGAAACTCCTTTCCGCTAGACACCCGGACCAGCTCACCGAGGCCCGTCCCCTACGTTGTTGCGCTGCGTCCACAGCCAGCTAGAGGCCCTTTCGGCTGCCTCTCCCAGTTTTTTGAGTGCTCGTTTCCGTTCATTACCGCGCAATCCTAATTCTTTAACCACACTGTAGAGCGAAGTGGAAACGAGGCCTCTCGCTCCCACTTCGACGGCAAAAACCCGTACTGTGTAGGCCTCGTTTCTCCTCAAACCGGCTGCTAAATCATTGTATTTCTCGAGCTTATACAAATGATTCTCCTCCATACGCGACTCAAACGGGACCGTCAACTCAATCAGGATGAGTTGCCGTTTTTGCGCAGAATGGAGAACGATGTCCGGTCGCAGGCCGGTTTTACGGATCAACTCGGGATACCGTTCATGTCCTAGCAGATCAACCGCCAGTAACCAGTCCCTCGCAGAGTCTAGCACAGATGGAGCGAATGCGTTTTGGTTGACCTTACCTTTTGGAACCTGCCCAGCCTTGAGGAAACGAATGGGGACGATACTAGAACTGGCTCTGGCATTAGCCCTCATTCTAGCCTGGTCGACAACGGCTGCTAACTCCTTTAGCACCTTGTTGTGGCGCCAGGTATAGCGGCCTTGACCTAGAGCTTTCCTGCACGCGGACAGGACGTGCTCAAGAGTTTGCTTTGATTTGCACAACGGGCAAGTCGGATCGTTGGTCGCAGACCATTTTTAACCATGTTAACACCGGACGGTAATACATCGTACGCCGAACGAACGATAAAGCTCAGTCGCAGCGGGGTCATCCGCCAGATCTCAACCCATGTGAGTATTCTCGGCAATGCGCTCTCCAGGCTGACCCAATGGCCCTGCTGCGACTGCTGGGCTGCTTTCTGGACCCGAACCTCGTTTTCGTTGTCCCTCACCGTTTGTATCACCATGTCTCGGCGCTCTTTGGCTGAGGCCTTTGACCACCAATTGACCTTCCCGTTCCCTAGGCCTCGACGGTCGGTTTGTGTGTAACCCATGATCTCCTTCAATTTTAGTGCGTTCTGAGCAGATTCAATCGCATCGAGGACTCTCCACTTGGTTCCAGTCTTTAGAGCGGGCTGGACAGCGATGACATTTGGGTCTGAAGACTCGCGCAGAAGCATGGCGAGTCTTACCTTGCCGACTTTAAACTCTTCTGTTATCGACTTGAACGGAAGTACCAGCTTAGCCTGTTTGCAATACAGAGCCACGTCGGTCAGACAAGGCGGTGCTCCAATCCACTTTCTTAAGGCTGTGTTGATTTTTTTCTCCATGGCTTCAACTGCAGTCATCGTCACCTCGTAGACTAGCAGTGGCCATAGGAGCTTTGGAATTAACATGAATTGGAGACACCATACCTTGAATTTCCCGACCAGCCTGCATCGCTCGATCGCGAGCAGGCCTGTAGCCAGTGACTCATGTATTCGCCGGACTTCCGCTCTGTCAGATAACTTCGAATCGTAGACGCGACCGAGGCTCTTCACCGGTTCCTCCAGAACCGTAGGGATCTTGTTCCTTGCCACCGTAAAACTGATTGCCGAAACCTTGCCCTTATGGATTGACAGACTCCTCGACTTCTGCGGTTTAAACTGCATACCGCTCCATTGGACCACCGCGTCCAATCTATTCAGGATCGTGCGGGCAGACTCCTCGCTGCCCGTTATAATAGTCGTGTCATCCATAAATGCGCGCAGTGGCGGCAACCAGTGATCCCCTATCTGAAGGCCCAGTCCGTAGCCGGCCGCCCCGTCTAACACGATCTGCATTGCCATGACAAACAGTATAGGTGAGATCGTACAGCAAATAGCTATCCCAATCTGCAACTCAGTCCACCTCGTGGTAAACGTCGAGGTAGAGAAGCGCAAAGCGAACTTGGAGAAATATTGCTCGACCATTTTACTGATCTGTATCGGTACGTGAAACATGCGAAGGGCTCGCCACAGTAGCCTATGGGGGACTGCCCCGTAGGCGTTGGCTAAGTCCAACCATATAACGTGCAAATCGATTCTCTCATGCTTGGCTCTCTGGATAGCCTCCCAGATCATGGTCGCGTGTTCAAGGCACCCAGGAACGCCTGGAATGCCACCCTTCTGAACACTCGTATCTATGTACTTGTTAGTCATCAGATACTGTGTGAGCCGGCGAGCCATGACTGAGAAGAATATCTTACCCTCAACATTCAACAGCGAGATGGGCCTGAATTGGGAAAGACTCTTCGAGTCCTGCTCTTTGGGAATGTAGACCCCATTTGCCTTTGACCACTCTGGACATATGTGATTGCGGATCCACGCTTGTCTCAACAAGACGTGAAGCATTTTGTAAGGATTTTTTCGGGCAACGCTTGTAAAGAACGTACGGAACACCGTTCGGACCTGGGGCAGACTTGCCGCTGGCTTTTTTCACAACGTCCTCAACCTCAGACCAAAGGGGAGGTACCATTTTAAATGATACCTTCGGCACCGAAGGCTGTTTGAGTCCGCTAAGGATCTCTGGATTGTCATCGAGAGGCTCTCTCCTCTTTTTATCCAAGTACATCTTGCGTAGATGTAGCTCTAGTTCTTTCCTGACTGACAACCAGAGTCCCAGACTTTCGGTTGCTGCGAATAGACCTCGGGCAAACTGATACGTGGTCCCTAAAGAATTTCTCTACGCTCCTGTTGGTTCTATAACGTCTGTTTGTTGCAATACTAGAGAGATGTGTGAAAAACTAAACAGGCTGACGTAGAGAATATACTGGCGGAAAAGAGATGATAGAGCACTCTTACATAACATCGGCTGCTGATACCGCTGTTACCATTACTGTGGCAATATAACCCCTGTATGGAAAAAACGTTTGCGGGTTTTTTATTCAGGGATTTTTAAAGAAGCTTTTAAGTTCGATTTTGTTTCTATGTCGGGTAAAATCTGTGCGTTGGGATTGTTTTAGTCGATGAACTGTGTAAAGATATTTATTTAACCTCGTTTGTCCATTAAGTTTTATGACAAATTATGTTTGTTGTTTTAGTGTTGTAATTATGTATGATTTTAAAATGAACACTTTGTTTTCAAAGAAAGAGTGTCACAATTGTTTTAAATGTTGATTTTATTTCAACTAACGTGGTCTGTCCGACGAATCAACCGTCCATAACTCACTCTGATCGTACAGGTAGACGCTTGATTTGTTACCCCAGCGACGATCACCACAACCTCAGTACCTGTTGCAATTACCATAACGTCTTGTCCGATAAGCGCAGCATATGTCCTAGACTCAGAATACATGACACTGGTGGCCCTGTGCCCCCCCCCCCACCCCCGAAGATTATTTGGGGAGGTTAAAAGGGCCAAAACCATTCTAGAAAGGGGGGACACCTACCAAAGATCGGCAGACTCTTGCTATGCATGCTGTCGTCCGTAGTATGCACCTGACGAGATACAATGAAATACCCAAGGCTGTAATTTGTGCAATAGGAGCGCCAGTGAACTCAGTGGCTAGAAGTTTGCATGTCTGGCCCGAGGTTTCTGGTTCGAATTCCTGTTCAGAAAATTAAAAAAAAAAGACCTTGGCTTTGAGGTCTATTTAGGAATGGTTGTAGGATGTAAAGTTACTGGAGTGATGTTTCGTGCTCGCACCGTTAAGTCTTTGCAGACTCTAGTGTTATAATGTGTTATGGGGAGGACATAAGGATGAAGTTTCTTTTTTCTCCATAGCACACAACCTGGGCAGTATAGTAAGACTACGTGATTCTCGTGGAATCAGAATCCCTCGCTCGGCCTGTTTTGTTTACTCCAAAGGAAAGGCAACACCAGTAAAGCACGCTGTAGAAGTTGTCGGATCAGAAGAGCAGAGCTCCGTACGCCCGCCGGTCAATGCTTCAGTCCTAGACCAGCTGCTAGCACCTGCTGATCACACCACCAGTCAACAGACAATTATTCTTGATTCAAGTAGCCTAACGGCAGCTGCCCGGACAAAACCTGGAGTTAAAGTTCTCCCCTTAATATTTCAGGATCCTCGCCGGTGCTACGGAGCTTGTGCACTGCGCTGAGCTACTTTGGACTCAGACTTTAGTAAGAAGTAGAAGGAGCACTTATGGGTTAACTACCCTTGCATTTGGACTCAGACTTGGGTAAGAAGTAGAACGGAGCATTTATGGGTTAACTGCCCTTGTGCCATGATGTTGATCCGTTGCTCAAACTTTAAACTTCTATTCTTGACTCAAATGTGAGTCCAACAATCGCATACAAGATGCCTTACCTTGTTAAACTTATAAATAGTTCAATGCATTGCTTCTATCTTTGTTATTTCCCAAAAAAAAAAAAAAAAAAAAAAAATAATAATAATTAGTCTTCATTTCTACAACTGTTCTCAGGTCATACTTGAGAAGCTCTTGCGTGGTGATGTGGTTTTAGAGTGGCAGAACCCTAAAGCAGTAGTGCCTGTCAGCAAGGGATGCGTCTTGCGAGATTTGTCAGGTCGCAGAGGGTCTTTTCTCATTAACAACTACAAACAACATGGAGGATTTCTAGGCGTAGGTCGCGGCTACTACGCTCGCCGAAACAAACCCGAAGAGGAATCTAATTCCGAAAGTGAACAAACAGATAACCGGATACCTTTCACTAAATCCACCAGCCTCATTCAGGACAGCTCACAGCTTGGTGAAAACGGAAACCAAACTCAAGAACACGCAGGGAAAATTACCCACCATTGCAAAACCTCGTTTCCTGAAAACAAAGACGAGGCCCGGATATTTCAAAGCCTAATAAATTCACACTCAACTATTTCAATTAACAACATTCGCAGAAAAGACTCTGGGGAACCTGTTCAGAAAGATGCAAGCCAGGCTCAGATGTGTAAGCAAATGTGTGAGGAGATGTGCTATAGAATCGTCAAAGAACATCCATTCATAGCTCCATTTATCAGACGTGATTTACTGCAAGGAATGCAGCGGAGTGTCGCCGCTGCAGCTAAAGGTTCTACTTCCGGTTCCGCTTCTAGTGTGACAGATGTCCCCCACACATGGACGAAGATGTATGAATCTCTGTGTCTCCCGCCTGACGATGAAACAACAACAAAAGCCAGGATTACACCGAAAATGAAGAAAAGGGCTCGTTCGGTAAGCAGAAGCACTCCATCAAAGATGAGGAATACATCGATTCAACCGGAAAAGTGGGACTCATTGACCCAGAAGTCAGGCGTGAGTGGTGCATCAAGGAAATTTGACTTAGCTTTGTCTAAGAAGACAGCAGAGATTAAGCCTGAACTCCAACCGCCAAATAATATACCAAGTACTGCTCCTAAAACGAAACTTCTAAAAAGCGCTAGGAGCCGCCGAAGCTTCTCCTTATGTCGCAAAACGCCGATGAATGATTCTGATCCCTTTTCACAGGTTAGTAAATTAGCACAGGATGCAAACGTTATCCCTGAAGAAGCTGTGGCAAATATAAATGAAGACAAATTTGCAGATTGTGCTGAAAAAGGAAGTTCGGTGGATCCAATGAAAGTTTCCCCTACAAAATTTAAGGATCATTTAAAAAGTACGCCTATTTTTAACGAGCAGCCCAATCAAAGCGAGGATGGTAAACTTGCTGAATCTACAGAAGGAGAAACCGCGCAGTGTACCCGTAAACCGTCCGCACACTCTCTCTCTGGAATGGGCAACAGAAACGGCAAGGAAGGCAGAATTAATGAGATTGTGTCGGCTTTAACCTCATGGGGCTACTCAATCAGAAACAAAGTGCAAGGTAAGGACAATGGACCCTCACAGATGTGTTCAGCTAACGGGGAGACACGTTCGGGCTGCAGTAAGCTACGTGTAAATGAAGATGAAGATACTGCTAAGCTGAATTCGAAAGCTCTAATTGACCTAATCAAGAATCTGGCTGAATCTAGAAAAAACCGCAAGTTAATGCGACAGATTAGCTCTGTCTTGAGCACAAATAAAACACCAGGCAGGACATCCAGAAACTCGAAATCCTTCTCTCAATCACAAACGTCGCCATCGATTGCTGCAATGGAAACACCAGTCACAGTCAAATCACCGGGAAACATCCAAGACTGCAAAGATAAGAAGAACATACAAGTTGCTAGTGATACCGGAACTAAAGTTCCGCAAGACATCAAAAACGGCCCAGTGGTTAAGAGACGTCGGATTGTCAGGGAGCGTTCCTACTTTGCCAAACTAGCTTCCACAGATAATAAAGAGAGCAGCAATGAAAACTTTGTTTATCAACCGTCTGCCGTGCCGTCTATGCATTCAAGAAAATTCTCCCCTCCAAAAACTGAAAATGAGATAAAAGAAAAACTGCGCCGAAATACTACTCCGCAGAAGAGACACAGAAAGTCACCAAAAAACAGTAGTTTGAAAAGATCAGATATAAAGAAAATAGAGCCTCGGGTTGTGAGAAAAACAGTTAGTACCCGGAAACTTGATATCCAGTTTCACCGGGAAATTCAAACCGAAGAAGATGATTTGGAGGCAGTTGAATGCACGCCGTGTAAAAAATATTCTAATGAAGGTTACGAGAACTCCCAAAGGAGGCAGTTGGAGAGTCAGTCTAATTCTGACGTCAAAAACAAACGTAGCAGTGAGGTGGAGAATACAAACCATGTGGCAAATATAAATCATGTAGAGAAAGCAATACAAGTAGAGGAGGTGAAGCCCATTTCAGAAAATATTAATGAATCTGTCGAGAACGATTACAGTGGTGTAGTTACCTATCAAAATAATGATAATGAGAAAGGAATACAAACTGCCGATCTTCGCATTACAAACGAAGTCGTTAGTTGTCAGTTTTCCCAATCTGTAATCAAAGACAATCAGTTTTCCCAGTTTGTGGTCAAAGACAATCGGTTCTCCCAATCTGTGATCAAAGACAATCAGTTTTCTCAGTCAGTTTTCACAGATAATCAGTTTTCTCAAGTTATGGTCAAAGAAAATCAGTTTCCCCAATCTATGATCAAAGACAAGGCTGAAGCAGCAGGAAATGACGAGGCCAGAGCTCAAGTACCAAATGAGAATCCTGCGAAAAAAGAAGACACATTTTTAAAGACTATTGATGTCCCATTGTCTTCAGCCAAAGAAGCCGAAATAGATATTCCTGAGACATGTACTAAGGAAAGAAAAGGTGAAAATCAAACTATTACAACTAAAACAAAGTCAAAACATTCTACCTCTAACAAGGTAAGGAAATCGCAAACGTCTGGGGACTTTTTCTCTGAAATACATACACTAAAACCAACTCAGCGAAAGACTTCTGTCACTTCTAGCAAATCTGCAGGTGCCGTCAGGAGCAACACTTTATCAAAACAACCATCTTCTGGCAATAAAAGCGGCAACAGAAAGCTTCCAAACAAAGTGCAGAAGCCTGAGAGACAGCCTGTGTCTGTTAGCACTAAACTCAAGGAACAAACCCGCGCTGTCGTTAAACGTGGACAGAAGAATAACATTGAAAGTACTCAACCGGTTACCAACAAAGCTCGAGAAAACAGTCGTGCGACAAGTAAAGGAAATAAACAAACATCGAGTGAGATTCGTTCGCGGTATGAGCAATATCAGAAAAATAAACTGCAGAAGAACACCCCTATTCGCAATAGAAAATTGCCGGTGAATAAAGAAGTTCCTGTCGAACTGAACCATAATATTAACCAAGCTTCCTTGCAACACACTGAACCAGAAACAGACAAGATATTAGATACTGTTGGCCAGGTCCACACAACGTACATCAGTTCCCTGTTCCCCTCAGCTTATACTACAAGAAACAAACTGTCCAATTGAATCTCAGGCGCCGGAAATAGGGTTAAGTATTTTCGAAGAAGAAAGCAGACAAACAGACTATCGTCAAATGCTCGGCGCTTGTATCTCCTTTGAAAACGACCATTTCGAAGCACATTCTGAAGGAGAAGATGCTGTTGCGTGGGGAACACAGAACGCGGGTAAAATCAGTCAACATTCTTTTAGTATTTTAAAGAAGTCGAAGCTGGATGTTGTGGTCAGTAGTTTGATGAATGCAAAGTCCATCTTCAATACAACCGAAACTTAAACATGGGATTGGTTGATTGTATCAATGCACTGTTGTCTAAACACTTCCATTTGTAAGCATTTAGTATAGAAATATTACATTAAATATACATACCATCCACCGTTGCCTTTTTTCTTCTCTAAACGTTTTTACTAGGAGATGGGGGTAGCCAGAGAGCGAGAGAGAGAGAGATAGTGAGAGAAAAAACTAGAGAGGTTTTTACTTAAAGGACTCTTTTCCACACCTTCTGGCGCATTGGGCAAATAGGTCTAGATCTATATTTTATAGACTGATCTGCACTAGTTGGCTGATATGGTTCATTCCAACAACCTCATCAGTGGTTGCCCTGATACCGAGTCCATTCCTTCCCATAACATCTCTGAAGCCTAACCACGTCTATTTTTTTGTTCTTTCTAATCAGTTTACGACTTGCATCGGTCTCAGAATTAATACCCCAACAAATATTTATAAAGAACACTATGCATCGTTATGTGTTTTGTGAAAAGGGGGGGGGGGGGAGGGGGGACGACTGGTAATAGTAGTAGTACTTTTACCCCAGTAGGACATCCAAACAAGCGATAAACACGTGATGACACAAAGTGCCACCATGCGGATGAGGATCACCCTTGGAGAGGTCCCAGTAACCGCGTTCAGCGATTAGACCATATTCATGGTCGTGCTATGTTGCGGTCCCCTGGCAAGAGCCAGGGTGGAGCTTCAAAATAACGAAACATGGCATCCCACAAAGAGACGTCTAGATTAATAATATGAGGGCGACTTGTGGAGACGCTTAGCGCCATTATATTTTTTGGGCGGGACCTCAGTCGCTTTATCAAATTTTCATTTTGTTAGCGTGCAGAAAGGGGGGGGGGGGGGCTGGTGGGGGGTGGGGAGGGAACTGGCCAGTCGCTAGATTCCATCACCCGGCACACACACAATTAGATGTCGCAGGCTGAAGTTCTCTGTGTTAATTATTTTGTTTCAAGACATTAGGTTCGTTATGTCTGTACTGAATGTGCAGTGTGCCTATTAAATGTGCACTGTTGTATTATTTAAAAATTGCGAAGTAACAATGGTACTTGGAGATTTCAACGCGAAAGTAGGAAGTGAAAAAGTGTACAGAATAACGGGTGGCTATGGCCTAGGAGAAAAGAATGTGAGAGGTGACAGATTAATAGCATGGGCTGAGTCGCGCAGCATGATAATAGGTAAGACCATCCTCGATTGTGGACTTGGAAAAGTCCTGGTGATAATGTCCGCAATCAGATTGATTATATTTTGATTTCAAGAAGATTTGAGAGCAGCTTAGTTGGAGCAAAAACTAGACCAGGGGCAGACTGCTTTAGTGACCATGTTCCAGTTGTAGGAAAAATTGGAATAAAACTAAAGAACATTAGAAAAATACGACAGAACATCAAGTTAAATTTAGGAATTCTTAGAACCGATAAAGAAATTAAGGAACAGTACAATGTCACTGTACAAAACCGGTATAATGCAATGGAAATTATAGACTATTGATGAACAGTGGGATTTGTTGCGTGAGTCAATTCAGCAGACATCACAAGAGACAATCCCACCAACCCATAGAGTTGCAAAAAAGAAAGGGATGTCAACCGAAATTCTGCAGTTGATGGATGAAAGAAGGAAGAAAAAGAATGATAAAGAAGAATACTCTAGAAAACAAAAAGAAATAGTGAACAAGTGCAAAGTGGCTAAAGAAGCCTGGCTGAATGAAATGTGTACAGAGATTGGGGAAAATCACAGGAAAGACTCACATTCCATGTACCAACAGATGAGTATGTTAACAGGAAAGATGACACGTAACAGCACTGGATGTTTGAATTCAAAAGATGGTGACTTATTAATATAACATAGTAATATAATTAACAGATGGACAGAGTATATAGGGGAATTGTATGATGATAAAAGACCAGACGTAGAACTGCATACCAACAATGATGGTCCACCAATAATGACTGCAGAAGTTGAGGATGCAATACATCAAATGAAGAAAGGAATAGCACCCGGGCCAGACAACATCTCACTGGAAGAAATCGAAGCACTGGGAAATTTGGGAATTGAAATAATAACTAAACTTTTAAATGATATTTATAATAGTGGGTATATTCCAAATGACTTTTTAAAATCCATATTTATAGCTCTGCCAAAGAAACCAGACACTTTAAAATGTGAAGACCATCGCACAATAAGTCTTATGAGTCACATGACTAAGATTTTACTGAGAATAATTATGAGAAGAATAAGAAAAAAAATTAAACCAGAAATCAGCATGAACAATGTGGATTTGTAGAAGGAAAAGGTACAAACAATGCCATATACATCCTAAGGACATTATCAGAAAGAGCTATAGAAGTAAAGACTGATTTGTACTTATGCTTCATAGACTATACAAAAGCATTTGACTGTGTGAAGCATGAAGAAGTAATCAAACTGTTAGAAAAATTAAACATTGATGGGAAAGATCTACGAATAATAAACAATATGTATTGGCAGCAAACAGCAGCTATAAGAATAAACAACTGTTTAGGTACATTTCAAAGCATAAAGAGCGGCGTACGACAAGGATGTTAACTTTCACCTGATTTGTTTTTAATATATAGTGAATATATAATGAGATCTTTAATTGATATGCCCGGAATTGTGGTTGGTGGGCAAAATATAAACAATTTACGTTATGCTGATGACATAGTCTTGATAGCAACAAGTCAGAAAGAATTACAGGAAATGATAGACATTGTGGTGTTAGAAAGTGGAAGAATGGGCCTCAGTTTGAATAATGCGAAGACAGAAATAATGGTGGTATCAAAGAAACAAATTATTCCTAAATGTGTAATAAAAGTCAATGGTGTTATTTTAGGACAAGTACAGAAATTTAAGTATCGGGGCACATGGATAACATCAGATGGAAGATTCATAACTGAAATAAGAAACAGAATTGGACAGGCAAAAAACGAATTTTATAAAATGAAAAACATCTTGTGCAATATATCCTTGTCATTGAGAGTTAGAAAAAGAATTCTTGCTTGCTACATACATCCAGTTTTAACATATGGATGTGAATCGCGGACAATCGGTAGGCAGGCCAAACAATTTTTAGAGGCCTCAGAAATGTGGTTTTACAGAAGAATGCTTAGAATACCTTGGACAGCTAAAAAGAGCAACCAAGAGGTTTTGAAAGAGGCGGGAGCCCGAAGACAACTTATCATCAGAAGGAGACAGTCATCATTTTTCGGCCATGTTATGAAAAGAGGGAAAAGAGAACATGTTGTGACCACTGGAAAGATCTGTGGAAGGAGGGATAGAAGAAGACAACGAAAGAAGATGCTTGACAGTCTTGTTGCATGGCATGGAGGTGTGTCGGCACACGAACTGATACATGCTGCAGAAGATCGCAGATTATGGAGAGGCATGATCGCCCACGCCAGTCGGCAAGGCACCTGATGATGATGATGATGTGGTATTAATATTCATCTAAGTCATATTTTAAAATATTACAAAAACATCGTAACCAACAAACTAAAACGCATATTTAGTTCTATGGTGCGACACCACAAAATCCTTTTTTTTTTTAAATTACGTTTTTATACATTGGAAAAGTGATGATCGAAAGGAAATAAGATCTGATAGAAGGGTAAACATGTAAGTAAAAGTCCCTTTTCTCGACAATGATGCATTGACCATATGATGCAAGAAACACATTTGCATAGAGTCGTCGACACTCTGTTGATGGGTCAATGTCACGCCCAACTAAAAAAACAAAACAAAACAAAAAAAACAAAACAAAAACAGTATCAAAAAATAAAATCAAGGAACATGATTTGTGATGAGCTTATAGTTGGGTTCAAAGTTAATTATGTAATCTTTGCATGACCTCTCAAAACCACCCCGTAAATTTGTTGACTATTTGTGATTTCACCATGCAATTTTACATTCAGTAGTTTGCCATTGCTACTAAACTGTCAGCTCTCGATGCCACTGTCGAAAAAAAAAACGCAAAGCGGTCTGCTGTCAATTCACCTGCAACTGGGATCGAACCTGGCTCCCTGTAACTATGAAGCACGTTCGCTATGCTTAAATTACAAGCCATAGACATTTTCAAATAACTAACAAATGAGAATGTTATGTTGTATTTCATTTTGAATCGATGTGTCGAGTACCACCTATTTCATTTTATTCCGTTTTTTTAAATTTGTTGTTGTTCGTAGTTGCATAACACAATAAAACTCCAACATTCATAACTAATTAGTTTCTGAGCTGAGAAGAAAATTTGAAAGGATTTCTGAGCCGAGATGAATATTAAAAAGAACGAATATCAAACGAGTTTTTCCCATCGGAATTAGCAAAGGTTTAATTTGTTCTAAACCTCTAAATTTGTTTATCTATTCTCCAACAACATTTCACTCGGAAAATCGATCTAAGGAATCACTGCCAGCACATTTTAATTACAAGTTAATCACTACCTATAACTGCTTTATCATTGTCATGCTTCTTTACTCGTCCCGATGACGTAAATGTATCGTAGGCCTACGTAAATACAATTTTGAAAGTAAATTTACCTTTTGGGTGGAAAAACAATGGCTATTTTATTAAGTGGGTGGCGGGGGAGGGCGGGAGGGGGGGGGGGGAGAGGGGTCACCTTCCATTATAACATCAGATAATGTCACGTCTAATTACTCATATCATCATGATTCATTAGCAGTTCTAGACGATTTACACACACACACACACACACATA